CCTGCGTGGTCGCACCGGTTGCGTCGGGAAAGGGCACAGCCGGCTGCGGCCGGCGAGGGCGGCAGGTCTGCCTCGCTGGCGGTTTTTCTTTTGTGGCTTTGCCAGGAAAATACACAACAAAGCTTTCTAAAAAACTGTGTCCCTTTCTGCTGCATTTCGTTGTCTTTTAACTAATTCTGCTGTTACGGATTCGATTTTCATAGGTGATATAAGTAAAAGCCATTTTTCTGAACGCAATGAAATTGCACCGGCTTGAGCAAGAGCTCAGAAGCAGGGTCAGCGCAGCCTGCTTTCATTAGGAACGTTTTCTTGATGAATTCTTATCAGAAGCATTAAAAAATAATTTTAGAAATTTAGGCTTTTAAACCCAGTTTTTCAGACATAACATCAGTGCTCATTGTACAGCTCCTACTGCGAGTCAGTGGCTCTCGCCCCTGCCCACCTACAGGTGGGATTTTCCGGAGATCTGAGCATTGGCCAGTCCTATCACACAGAAAGTTTTTGTTGCTGTTTAACAGAGAGAAGCTGCCCGCTGTCATTTTTCTGGATGCTGCAGGCATCCGAGCGTGGATGTGCAGGGAGGCAAAAGGGGCTGAGGCTCCTTTCCATGCACCCTGGTGCAGCGTCAGGTGTGAGCAATCCCCCCCCCTTCCCCATGGCACTGCAGCTGTGGTCAGAGAAGAGGGTGGGAAGGCAGCCCAGCTGGAGGAGGTTAGCTTAAGAGTCCTCAGGATAGAGCCAGAGTTGGGAGTAGGAGCTGGATCTTTGGGCAGCCGGCGTGGCAGTGACTGCTGGGCTGTTCTGCCCGTGCCGCGGGTATCAGTGACGGACTGATGGTGTTGTCTTGACAGCGGTTTGAGCTGGGAGCCCCGTTCCCGCGCGGTGGAGCAGGTTCATCTGCGCTGCACCGAGGGCTCCTTGGAATGGATGTACCCAGCACGAGCCCTGCGTGTCGTTCTGGAGCCCAACCTCTCCAGTGCCCGGCACACCACCGTCTGCATCAAGCCCGCCAGTGACTTCCAGGGTGCCAGCATCTATGTGGAACGTGCCGGGCAGCTGCATCTGGTGGTAAGCGAGGCAGAAGGGGCTCGATCCCACCACGTGTCTTGCTTCAGTGCCCACACACCGCAACGAGTGGCCCTCTTCCTGCAGGCCTGTCCACAGAGGGACATCAGCCGCCGGATGGCCAGCTTCCAGTATGAGCTGCTGAGCAACCAGAGCGCTGCTGGCCCCGACTTCAAAAAGATGGCACTGGTCGAAGGTAAGAACAGGGCCAGCCTTGGGGCTCTGCTGCTGGGGCAGATCCAAGGTGGCATCCGACATCCATTGACCTTGCCCGTGTGACCCTAGTGACAGAAGCTGTTTTGGGCTGAGGGGTTTGTCATTGCAAAGGAGGTCCTTCTGCCAGCTCACTGACTGTTCGGTGGGTGCAGTATGTTTTCAGATTTCCACCGTGAGGGGCATCCTGTAGGCACGGGAGGGAACACTGCAATGTAAAGAGAAACTCTGTCTCTCCGTTAGCAGCCAGCTTGGTCCTGGACGAATGCATTGTCATCATGGGTGTCCCCAGCTCCTGGCAGTACCAGCACTGAGGACACCAGAGTAGGTTTTAGGAGCCTAAATCCATGTTCAGAAGAGATTTAAATTCATCAGGAACCCAAGACCTCAAGACAGTCACTGGAAATCAGGCTGATCTTTTGAAAATGGGATTAGCCATCTAAATTGCTTGAAACTTCATTTACCTTTCTTTCCTATTGGTACACCAACGTAATGCCGCACCTAATAACGCTTGTCCCACACACGCACACGTTTATGTATCCAATGAGCACTGAGGTTGAAGAGGGCTCTTTTCCATCCCAGTTCCGAAAAATCAGGACTCACCTAGTGCTCCCGTTATATCCCTGCTGCCCCAATAAAGAACACCCCAGACAAACCTCCTGTTAAAAAGGGGAGTATTCAAGCCACGTTGCAATGGCAAGAAGCTGCCCTTAAAACAGAGAGATTAAATTAAAAGAGCAACTATAATACTTTTGGGTTCTCCTCTCCTCTTTGTTAACCCGTCCAAGGTGCCGCTTTGCTGTTTGCTGGAGCTTCACGGCATTAACTCGGGGAAGGTGCTTATTTTAGGAAGTGCTGAATAGGATCACCGGCCTGATTGCCCGCTACTCAAGACAGGAGCTTTTGATAACAAAGAGGGTATATACTAAGTTTGTGGATAACAAATTATGTTTATGGGGGGGAACAGAGCCTGATTGATTCAATGACCCCTGCAACCTGGTGTTAGACTCCTGAAGGCTTCAGATGTGGCGTGGGGTGTTTTCTTTATCACCAATGTATTGAATGACTTATGCTGCTGCCCCACACTTGGAATAAAATTCAACCACATCCACACTGGATTACTGATGTTTCAGTAGGCAATACTGGAGTGTTCCCTGGCTGTGGAGCTGCACGTTGCCTGAAGTCGTCGTAGCTCCCAGCACGCACATAGATGCCTGTCTTTATTCTTGTCTTTTGTAATCCTGAAGTAATATGGGAGGATATTCCCCACTTTTTGTCAGAACAGAACCCAATTTGAAAAGGTTGAAAAATGATGGAGGGTAGGTATGTGCCAGGTGCTGTGTTTTCTGTTATATTTTTTTGCACGCTTCATCAGTTGTTAAAGGGATTATATGCTGTTGGGCCCTGTCGTCGCTCAGTGACTCTTATAAATCCTCTGTGCTTATTTCTTTGCTTCAGTTGTATTTGCATAAGAATTTTGGTTTGCGTCTGATCATAATGCTCTTTAAGCTAGTAGTTCTACCCCATTTCCTCTTGTAATTCACCAGTCCTTTAGCAATGAGACATAGTATAGTATTAGAAGTAACTGACTGTTCTTTTTTTCCAGCTATGTGCCGTCCTTGTGACAACGTGGAACTTCTTATGGCCATTTGCAGCAGTGATTTTGGTAAGCTGACTAAACAGAAGTCATTCTGCCTTTTAATTATGCATTGATTATTTGGATTTATTTACTTCTTTTCTTAAAATAACGGCATGACTGTGCTCTCTGATCCAAGAAAGAAACTAGCCGTGTGAAAAAGAATTTGTGGGGGGAGGAAATTAAACCTAGAAGGGAGAAGCTTTCTTTCAAGGTCCTTATTTCCTGCAGGCAGAAAGATTACGATCTAAAACTGCACTGAAAGTAATTCTCACAGGTGTGCTGCTGAGTCTCACACGTAGCAAAGTCACATGCGTGTGGACACATACACACAGGTTATGCATGCTTGGTATGTTCCTTTTTATTCCCTTCATCCGTCCCCGTCCCACCCCCCTCACCCCCCCAATGATGGATATGCCCTCTCTCTTCTCTCACAATTTGCACGCTTCCTAGTTCTTTTTCTACAGAGGTAGTGAGTTGTTTGTAACTTAGCTAAGGATTTTAGGTGATTTAAACTTCCTTCAGTGACATACTGGTTAGGTTTCATGCCTTATGAGAAAACAGAGCAGTTAATATTCCATAAGATAAGAAATACTAAGAAATACTGATTTGATGGTACATTAAAAGCTTTTTCCATTTTCTCTACTTAATAATGCAATATAGGTTTTTTTCTTTTTCTCTCGATCATGATTTGTTCATTTTATTCTCATAGTTTTGCACACAAAAAATTGCACCTCTGATTATGTCCAACAGCTAAAGCTGTAGAGCTGCCTCTCCACGTGGCCACAATTATATTGCTGTAAATGTACCTACGTAAAGAAATAAAGCTATGAACTGTATTTACCCCTATTCAGTGTTTTAAAAAAACCCACCAAATTACTGCTTTCCTACTAGGCGTTGCCATACTTCAAGGCTACTGATAAAATCAAACGCCAACATCATTGTGCTAACACAAAAACAGAGTGTAGGGCATGCTTCCCTTAGAGTGCTCCTTAGCTGGTAATTTTTCTTCTTCTTCTAAATTAATTGATGCAATCCAGCCCATTGTTTCTACTTGATGAAGTTATCGGTTCCCATGCGAGGCGCTCTCCCTCTGCACTGCCTGAAAGACCAGAGACTGACAGATGCGGGGGCCCAGGCACACAATGGGGGGCACTTACACTTACAGCGGCAACCGACCAGAAGAAATAGCCCTTTGAACTGACTCTATTTATGGCCTGACTTCCTTGCCCTAAGCTCACAAATCGCTATCATCAACTTTTTTGATTAGAGAAAATAGCTGCTAATGAAAGTGTAAATGACACTGGGAGTGAATAGGGGCTTTATGGTTATTCTTAAGATGGAGGTCTTCAGTCACGAGGCCCTGAGCAGCGCAGGAGCAACTTGGAGCACCAGGAAAAGTGCATTATAGCTTGTCAATAGACTTGACTGCGTCTGATTAAAAATGACACACAGAGAGGGAGACGGAGAGCAGAGACATCTGTTACACAAAATTCTGGATTCCCTTGGAAATCGAATTAGATGAGGACATTTTTTGAAACTTCAGAAATAAGCTTTTTCTGCCTCTTGGGTTGTTGAGTTCTCTGTACCTGAATGAAAAAGTTTTGTGGCAGAAGCATGGTGATGTTCCCGTTGCATTGGTAACCTCTCGTTTGCTCAAGAGGTCTTGGCTCAAATGGTGGCATGTTTCTTTCTGAGCCTTCTCTGGGTATGGGATTGAAATTCATTTAGTTAATAGAAGAATAATTGATTGCTGCAAAAAAATGGGGGCGGTGAGAATGAGAGAGATGGCTTCAGGACAGCAAATACCTGTCAGAGGGGATGTTTCATTCTCTGCACGGTTGATGCAAAGGATGCTTTCAGTCAGAAAGACTATGGCTGCTTATGCTTTCGTTCCCAGAAAACAGCTAGGATCATTTTGGGAGAAGGAGGTATGTGTATGCTATGTGATTTCTAAATAAGGCTTCAAATAAAGCCACTTTAAGAGTTCTGCACATTGTTCATCAACTCCCAAAGTGTCTTTTGATGGATGAATGCCACTTTCTTTTGAGGGAAAAAAATCTCAAACCTTTAAATGAAAAATGTTTAACAAGCTCCTCTTTTTTTCCAATCAAATCATATTCTAATTCTTCGTGGATCAACATCTGTTACTGCTGTCAAAGGAAAAACTTCAGAGTCCCCTGGAGACAGGAAGGAGGTAGTCTGTGACAGTCATTGTCTTGGAACATAGACTGAAAAAACTGAATCCCTGAGCTGACCTCTTTTCATGTGCTTTTTTATCCTTTACTGCTGCTTTGCATTATCAAGCAAGTGACATGCTTTTTTCCTCAGACGTAGCTGATTTGAGTAGTCATAAAGCATGTTCCAAGCACGTAGCACCGTGTGTGTAGGGATCCTCTGTGTGAAGGATGCAATGTACGCTCAGAAATGTGTCCGCCTGTGAGTGGCAGGGGTACAAACTGCACAACAAATCTGTTTCTCCAATGAATTCATTCACTGAGCTCCTAGTACCTGAACTGCTTCCTTGCCGCTCCATAACCAACTCCTGTCTTCTTCACATCTAGTGGTGAAAGGATCCATCCGAAATGTTTCCCACGATTCAGAGAACCACATGTCACAGGTTGACGTCAGCGTCCAGAAAGTCTACAGACAGAAAAACAGAATTTTCCAGCAGGATGAAGCAAGTGGTGAATGGCGAGGCCCTATACGAACCCTGCTGCAATGCAAGGTGAAGAAGGGAGGTGGAGATTTCCTTTTCACTGGAAATGAACATTTTGGCGAAGCTTGGTTGGGCTGTGCTCCTCGGTTTAAAGATTTCATGTTCGTTTACCGGGCTGCCAGAGAAAGAGGAGCCAACCCATGTGAGTTTCAGCTCAACTGACAGGAGTGACACTGGAGTCGAGAGCTGAAAAATTTCAGCGCAGTTTTTGGATACTGAGTCTGAAGTAGAGTTAAAACCAAGGACTAAAGCTAACAAATTCACCAAAATGGGGGCCTGGAGGATTTCCTGAAGATAATGGCTCTGTGAGCCCTGTAAACTCTGACTTTTAATCCACATTTGCATTAGTTTCTTCTTCTTTACATCTTTGCCTCACAAAATACTCTGAATTTTGAAAAGGTTGTCTTTTTTTGTGGTTAGAAAGCAGCTTGTGCTCAGTATTACAGAATTCTCTCTAACATCTTTTGCTCTGTGTACATGCTATGTGCTTTCTCTCTAGATTTTTTTTTTTCTCTCCTCCCCCATCTCTACTTGATTTCCCTTCTGAATGGCTCCTTTTTTTTTTTTTTTTTTAAATGAATGCTAACTATAGTCTTAACCATAACTACTAAACCTTCAGGCAATTGGCAGGTTTGCCAGGTTCTTTGCCTTCTGTATTTTAGCAGAGGGATTAACTAACTCTCTGGGGCAAAATCACAGCTGATGTCATTCTGCAGCGCTCTGATTTCTGCACAGTTGACAGCATCTGGTTTTGCTCCCCATGCAAACAGGCCGATGAGGGATACTGCACTTTAGCTAATATGAACACTAACACTGTATCGCTACCAGATGAGAAAAGGTGTTTGGGAAATGCATCGAAATAATCAGAAGTTTTGGTTGTAGCGTTGTCTGCGTGAGAATGTAATATTTGGTATTCACAGTGCTACACCCACAACTAGCTCTAGTTATTGTTTGTTTAGTGCACAGCAGGAAAGACCTAAGCGAACCGGCCGTTGTAAAGTTTTGGATGATGTACAGGGATATCCGAGTACCTGGGTTTTGAGAGCTGGAGATCAATGCTACTTTTGAGATTTTAAATGGAGTACTCTTCTTTGGCTGGTATTTGCACTGTAAATATGAGATAAAATATGTTCTTTTAGTATGGATCAGAGGTACTGCATTTCTTCTTGTTTTGTATATTTGTATATGTCAAACTTGTGGGGGTTTTTGCCTTTTAAAGGGGCCTTAGCCATTTCTTATAGCGTTAATGTCATAATTAATATTTGCTTTTGTAGAGCATCATCCCTTTGAAATAATGTGTTCTTTTTAAAGCAAATAAGTAGCTTAGTGAATGAGTGGTTGAAAAACTAAAATAACCCAGTGTGAAGTGAAACAACATACTTAAAAACACACATGATCTGGTGATTTAATCCACAGCTCTGCGGACTTGTCAGCCTTGCAATGAGCAACCTGAAATCCTTGCAATCGGTGAGAATAATGAAGAGCTTACTAGAGATCATGGATGTTGGATATATTAATTCTATTTGACTGTAATGTCCCTATATTGCATAGAGTTGAGGTAACTATCATGATACCAGTAACTAGTAGAGGTACCTGAATGTTTCCAAGTGGTGGGGTAAAAAGCTTTTTTGGAGAAAATCTTTTTGTTTTAATTTGTTTCAGATTTTAAACAAATATTCTGACTTGTCTGGGGAAAACATGTAATGTATAGAGTGCCCACGCTCGAAAAACGTTCTGCTGTGCTAAAATCAGTAGTGCTACTGCTGTTTACATTTGGTCCAAATTTCTTCCAACATCAAGAGTGATGATGTTTAGATACAGACCTGAGTAACAGTGGGGCAAAGCGGCTAGTGTTTCCGTTGGGATAAGATGGAAAATTTGAGTCAGTGGAAGAGCAGTAAAGTAGCGGAAGAGTAACATAAGATCAGGTCATACACTCTTCAATGTCAGTGACTTTATTAGTGTGACAAGGTGGACAGCCATTATCACAGCAAGGAACTGTGGTTAGGTCAGGGCATTTTAATCTCGTCTTCCAGTGTTTTAAGCTCTGTCAACCTTGGGTGATATTGTGGTTTTCCAAGTACTTAGTTTCAAGGGCAGCAGCAATGTTTCTTTCCCTGGCATCTTACCTCACATAGTTTCTAACTGAACCATAGAGTCCCTTCTTTAGCCACGGCAGAATAAAAGCTAAAGGAGAATAATCTTCCTTGCACTGGCTGTGTTAGTTTATGTATAATAGGAGCCAACGGTTGCATTTATGTGCTCATTTTAGTCTTATCAGACAACAAGAGGTTGAACAGACAGAGACAAAGCATATTATACAAGCAGTTTGTAATGCCCACTGCTTCATTATGTATGTCGTTGAATGTATCCCACGTTCACCCTCACTGCTTTATTTGCCCCCCCTTGCAAAGGAACGGGCAGAGACCAATTGTATTGAGGGCATGAAGCATTCAAACCAGCAAAAATGAAGCCAATTTCTAATGAAAGGAAGGTGGACTGGGAGTAAGAGAGGTGAAGAACAGCAACAAGGAGTTTAAGCTACAGCTGACCATAATTCTTGCTAGTGGTTAAAGTCAGTATCATAAAGCAGCAATCTTCCATGTAAGACCTGTTCTGTTGCTTGTTCACTCCATAGATGATAAAACTTTTCAAAAGAGCCCTAGGCATCCTAAAGGAGATGTAATCAGTACGGTTCCAGAGATCTATTACAGGAAGTTCCACATCCCAGGAGTTTGTCATTCTATGGTCAAGAACCATCTAGAAGATAAAGCATCTTTTATGGCACTAAAAAAACTTTTCATTCAGTTGTTTCTCAAAAATTCTGTGGATTTTCCTCCTTTCAAGACTGATAAATAGGGCCAGGCAGCCTTACAAAAGCACAGTGGCTCATGTATTCAGGGAATAAGTACCTAAAAAAAAAAAAAAAAAGGATGCCAAAAGCATCTTCATGTTCACCTTCATGGGTTTTTTTTCCAGTCTTTGGGGATCAATTTCTCCAACTCTACATATAGGAAAATTGGGTCAGAAGGGGTTAAATAGTATAACTGTTTCACATATGGAGAGTTGAGGCAATAAGAGACAATTCTTGGTGGAATTTGGGTGCCAGCTCTCATTAGTGCCAACTTTAAGATTTGAGCTAGACCTAGTATGGGGAAGGGGGGACCTAAGTTATAGTCAAAACACATTTGTGAACAACTGCAAGCAAACAAGTGATCTTCTTTCTTTGCTGTGTTGAATTCAACCCAATGAATTATCTTTATTGAGGAAAGCACGTTGAACATTTTCCCCTTCGGCACTGCAAGCTTAAGTCTTTCAGTCTCTTCCAGGAAGGAAGTGAAGCCTTTCCCGTAATCATTCTGATCTGTAACATTTCATAAAGCAGCAGGGCGCTTTATGCACTGAATCATTTGTTCTTTGCTGGACTTGTGCCTGATGTGTAGGTAGAGAATCAAGAGGGACAGGACGTTTCCCCCGTTCATTGGAAAACAAAAGAGCCGCAAGAATTTCTAATGAGTATTTGAATGACTGGACCAACACCATGAAGTAAAGGTTTGTGAATAGACACTGTGGTCTAAGTCTTCTCGACTGATTCAAATGAGGTTTAGCCTGCTTCCACCAGAGTGGATTTGGCCCTTTTTGAATGCAGCTGGCCTTTTCCTCATGTATACCTTGCCTTTTCTGTGCAGTTTCAAATGCGCTGAATTTTCAACACATCATTCCATAGGAAATTAATTACACGAATACAGGCTTATTCCCTTTGTTAGAGGTTTGACTCATTCACTCCCTTACTCCAATTCTATTATTATTTTTAAGGTAGATGTTTCAATATTTTTCGCTGAAATGTAGGTCCAGCTTTTGTCTCAAACAAAAGGGTAAGAACCTGTTCGTATAACAAAGTAGGACGATAAGTCTTCTGTCACAGTATGAAATGGCAAAGTCATGGCTTTCAAAGACCTTGAGGGTTCTAGCAGGAAGGCATAGGAGCTGTGTGCCAAAGTCTCGAAGTCGGGGGTTTATGCTGAGCTTTACCACTGACTCAAGTATCTAACACCTTCTGCTGTTAGTGAGAGCGCCCATGTTTTAACACCTCTCCTAGGAGCTCATTCTGCACAGGTTTGTATGCTTAACTTCAACGTGGGAAGAGGAATAATTTTTTTCTCTTTTTCTGTCCTTGACCAAGAGTCTATCTTTTCTCCCTTTTTAACGGTCTTGATCTCATTCTGTTGAAATCTAGCAAGGCTTCCAAAATAGCCATGGAGAGTCAGAGTTAAGAATATTTGCAGTTTTTCTGAATGCTTTTCTTCATTTTGAAGTGATGAGTTTTGGTTTCAGTACACCGCAGTGATAATTTAGAGATATGTAATTCATGCTCCCGTAATTAGTACAGTCATACTTAGCGTCTTTATGATTTTGTCTCAGGATATAATCCTAGTAATGTTTGAGAAAGCCATTGTTCTATCTTCAGGGAAATAATAGCTCACTAGTTAAAGGAATACTCTCACTGTCATCCATAGGCAAGTACCTGAAATGAATCGGGGGCCAACAGGGAATATAGGGCTCCAGGTCTGCCATCAGGCCAATCGTTACAGCGTGCCACAGCCCTCTTCACTGTGAACTTGAGAAGTCACAGCAAAATTGCAATGTCCTTACCTATTACAGTGCCAGGATTAAGGATAGCCAAACTGCTTGAGTATCAGTTTCGCACAAAATGAATGCTTGACTTGAATCCTAGGAGATTTACTTTTGCAAGAATGATATTCCTGACTCCAAAAGAGAAACTGTTACACTTCACTGAAAAGTGCTGCTGATAATTTGATCTAAAACTTTTTCTACTTCATATAAATGGAACCATATACAAATTACCTGTTGCAGTCAGGAGCGTAAACGTAGGATTTGCAGGATCAGGCTTCTAAGGCACAACATTCCTTTACAAACAAATGTGGAAACTCTCTAAACTGGGGGCAAAACCTAACCCTAAAGCAAAAAACCAACTCTCTTCCTCCACCAAGAACTACTTGATTTTTTAAAATGGAACGTAGGTACCGTAAAAAGTACAAATTCTTTTCTTGCATTGTATTAAACTTCTTAATGTTTTTCAAACACAGACAAAATACAACTAACTTGCTTCCTTAAAGTTCTGTTGAACTAATTTAGGATCAAGAATTGCTCATGATGGTATTTCCACCTAAATTATCTGCCTCTTTTCAATTAGCTTTTATTATTTTAATGGTGGCTCCTCCCACCCTTCCTTAGTGCTTTGGCTGGACTCACATAATTGCCTATATTTTATGTAAATGGAATTGTTACACCGTAAAATGATATACAAATGTGTCTACCACACAAAGTCCAATAAATGGTGTGAATAAACCCATTATTTTCAATGTAACGGCATCTGATAGCAGCCTGGGAAACACAGGGCTGACAGATGTGAGCCCATGACAAGGCCTGGAAAAAAACTGAATGAGGAGCACTCTGATAGACCACAATTAATTGACTTTTGAAATAACTCCTTTTTTTCACAGTTCTACTTGGCTGAGCAAGATTTACAAATTGCTGTCTTGAACTTTTTAATGGGACAAAATAGCTGCCAATGAAAGTCTAAATGACATGAACTTTGAATAGGAATCATACAACAACCACACCGTGACGTGTTTTTAGCTGACATACTGATTATTTGAGAAGTAGCAGCCACTCAGCTGGGAGGGAATCAGGAAAGAGATGGGAGGGAGTCAGAGAACTGGGTATGGAAGCACGGTCTGTTAAACGCTAGCCAAATACAATTTTATTTTAGGAAGAGAAACAAGTATTAGGAAACATCTTGATAAACATTTTCACGTATGTTCCCAGAGAATATGGAGTCCAAGTCTGTTGTTCCTTTTGCTGTGAAAAAGTGATCGCAAAGCTAAATCAACAGGAAATTACGTTAGCAAGTCAGAAAACAGACCTTGTATGAGCAATGAGCATGCTGACTTCTCTGGGGTTTCGGTACTTGCTCAAGACCCAGGCTGTAGTCACAGTCAAGTTTATGCAGGCTCAAAATATCTATTTGTCTTTCTTTGGAAATTGAGGCCGAACTCTGGCAGACCTCTTAATCCCAGGGACATCGTGGCACAAGTAGTTAGTGAAGATGAGGATTTCCACCCCCCCCTGTTTTTTGTACTACCTGCCACTGCTGATCAAGTAATACCATTGTCTGACTCTCTGGGAACTCTTCAGGGAGTTTATTCCCCAAAACCTTCATCAGCCTAATTCGCTTGGAGAACTTTAAGCGGAAAAGTCAATTTTTAACTTGTTTTGTGGGTGCCTTTGTTTTGGCTAATTTTTAAAAGTTTGTTGAAGCCACCAGAGCAGCTCCCTGTTGAGCTGCTTTCCACTGGCCACATGGGGAGGCAGCAGCTTGCAAACCACAAGCCCTTTAGTTTGATTTCACCGAGTAGTATTAGGAATCGTCACCCATTGCTGCTTCCAGGTGTAACTTAAGCTGGCAGATGCTGGACATCACCTAAAGCTTTTTAAAGCAATCCCATTGCACATACTGAGGCCTTAGTCTTTCATCTTCCTCCAGCCGATGACCATGTTTTTGCTTACCTGAAAAGGTCTCCAGTTTCGTTTACTGGATAGGAAGTTCCCCTCGGCTAGGATGCAGCGTTACTGGTAAAGGGTGTGTAGCTCAGGTGGAGGAGGTAGTTTAGGATGGCATTTGCCGGTCCAGAGCATACCACAGCCTATGCAGCTCTCCTCCTTTTCTCTCTGCCCCAGTTCTCATATAACTTGGTGAGTTACGCAGTAAAAGACCTGTTATTTGTACACCATGGCATCTTTATTTCTGCCTTCCGTACTACTTGCTTCAGCTCTGACCACAGAACAAAACATTTAGAATTAGGGTTTACCATGAATGTTTATTGAATTCAAGCTATCATAATTCACTCACTTTACAGCTGAAAAGATCAACAACAGTCAACTTCTAAAACAGTTACAGGCGCAGTCATAAAACAGATGGCATAAAGTCTGTGTCTATTGCCCTGACAAGGATGTCTAGCCGACAGGTCTATATGAAATAACATACAGTACGCATACTGAAGTACATGGCTGATATATCGGTACAATCAACAGGTTTATAATTACATAAGCATTTATTTTTCTAACTGCAGTATTTTATGACATGTTTCATTGAAGAAAAGATTAAACAGGTTAGTTTATTTTCAGTGGGCAAGTATTTTTCCATATACTCTCACTTGTACATTAATATGCAAATCATTTCACATCCTCATGGCTTTATTAACACCAGAATTAGCTCTTTTTCTAGATTGGATAAGTTGGGTTCTTTATAGTATAAAAAAGACAGGTATAATTAAAACACACACTTGTATCTATGTTTTGTTTAAAACTAGTACAGCTTTGATAGTTACTGGCCAAGTAAAAACACTTCAGTTGTGCTGAAGAGGCTTTTGATCCATTATTTATCATGCTGTAAGCAATATTTTTTCCTAATGTTATATCACCCCAATGTTTCGATACATCCAAGATATCTGAAGCTAACCAAAATAAGTTTTCAGAAGTGCAGCAATTCAGTTACGCATTTCTCATTTCATTCCAAATTAACAGAAACTTGTTCTATCATTTCTAGTCATTCATAGCACAGAAGAAAACAAACAAAAAAGAGAATCAGGAGTACAGTGGCAGGCTTGTTTCACTGCCTGTGGTAATCCAGAACACCTTTGTGTTATATACTGTTGGTCACACACCAGCGTCACATTTAAAGAATCCCACCTTGTCCAACGGGGCAGAATAAAAGCTGCTCTTTACTTTGCTTGAGTATCACTCCAGACTATGGCTAAAGCAGCCCATAGGCTTAGAGGTTAATATTGACACCTCTTTAAAGTCAAGCAGCAAGCAATAGAAAATGGGGACTTTCTCTACTGCACAAACTGCCAGAGCGCTTTTTTTTCCTCACGAACAAGGAGACAGAGTACTCCGTCAGCACCCTACTGAGTGGATCTGCAGCCCTGCATTACAGCCAAGCAGCTAAAGGGACAGGATTTCTCAGAGGAGACTGCTCTTGTCCCTCACTGCTGAAAAACTGGAAGTGCAGGGGAAGGAAGAAAAAAAAAAAAAGTTTTGCATTTATTGTTGGCTCCTAGCAGGACACATCCTCCTTCCACACCTTTTGAAATGTTTTGCTTAGTTTGGTAGTTTTAGTGCTGACTGTGCTTTGGAAAGCTGAGACCCTTGAGGAAATACAGCTACTCCAAAGACAGCCATGGCACTTCTAGGTCCGCCATCGGCTCCATATCCTATTCTGGCCAAAGACATGGAAGAGTCTTATCAGGCTTATGCTATCCTTGACAAAGTACTGAGAGTTTACAAACGAAGTAACAATAGAGACACCAAGCCTGAATTCCCGCAAGTCTCTCTCTAAAGCACTTTGGCTAACATGAAGTGTAGTCACAGAGGTTCCTTTGAGCCTTCTGACCATTTCCTTCTAAACTGCCAGTAGTAACTTTGTGGTTTATTTCACCAAGTCCCGTAAGGGGGAATTTGACAAATCAAAGTCCAGGAAGTCTCTCGTGTGAGCTTCCCTGTTCTTCATGGGCTACCTCAAGAAGTCAGAGCTAGCATGGTAAGTCCAGAGGCATCAACAAGATACAGGCCCAATAAGTATGAGATCCAAATACCTTGATTGCCTACTGATTGTTTTGAAGTTGTAAGAAATGCAGAAGTATGGATTCTTCTGTACGTGGCGAGGACTTCTGAAGACATACCACAACCCAAAGCAAAGAACACCAGGAGAATTAAAAAATCCATCCCAGTGGGAATGGAAGTATATTCTCCTTTATGCTAGTTCCCTGTATGTTTCAAAAGACTCACCTGTCTGCCTGCAAGCTTCATGCAGAGAGGAAGTGGCATTTTCTATGTACTGTCCACAGCGTCTTGAGACTCCTCAAATCAGAGTCCAAATAACATGTAGGAAATCCAGTTTCTACCACCTGAACAACTAAAGATACACCAGCAGAGAATATCCCGCCTCACAAAGAGGAAAAGCTTTATGACAGCAGACCCTGCTTTAAGTGGACAGCACATTTATGCTCCCTATGCAAGCCAAAAATGCACTCCCTGAACTCCTCAGCACACACACAAAAAAGTCCACCATTGAAGAGCCTTCAGTGTGAAGATGTGAAACATGTTCTGGGTCAGAACATGAGACAGAATGGTTCATCCCACAAACTATATTATTACAGGGCGCACGCCACTGCTCTGCAGGATGTCTTCCTGAAGACTCTCTGGCATATTCCTAGTCTCTGAGTCAATGTCATTTATTTCCTGGTGATTCTGACACCATTTCTTATCCATCAACTCTGAAAGTCTCTGCATTTCTATTCTGATGAGATTTGTCATATTGACTTTTATAAGTTGGTATCACAAGACCTGAACTTACGGAGTTTAATAGTTCATTCTGTACCATCTCATGGAGTCATACACTGGGAACACGTGTATTGCAAGTCCTGACTATGGACAACAGTCTGCATATAGAGGAAAAGGCAACACTGAGACCTACCTCAAAGCCTGGAACCTTAATTTTCCAAGGAATTCTTCCTGTTTCTTTCTCAAAGGGGTTAGTGCTACTTGTGAAGCACATTTAGACCTGAAAGTTAATTCTGGGGATCCTTTACAGCAAACCACAGAAGCCACAGCAGCTACTGAAGACATTTAACAACGGTTCATATTGTAACTTCGTTTTCAGAAGGACAATCAAGGTCTTTGCAAAACCTTTCATTGTAGTTTTTAGTATCATTCATCAACATTTTACTAAATCACTATCTAAAGGCTTTAGCAATTCTGACCAAAAAAAAAAAAATCAGCAGATTTCCCAAACTGCTTAAAAGAGCTAGTAATTTTCATCTCAAACAAATGATCTTCGAGACTTCTTAGACTAACACATACAAAGAGTTGCTGCAGGACTGATTATCTACATGTGAGTACTTAGGCGAACTAAATTAAGATACAAGACCTTACTGTTTCACTTGGCAGAGAGAGAGAACAGTGCCACTGGAAAATAACCAGAAGGCAGGGTACAAGGCTTCAGTAAACTGGGTTTTGAATTTATAGATCAAGTTATGCTTCTCCCCAACAGCCATGAACATCACAAACCCTCCCTCGCAGTGGAGCAGCACACCAACCTTGGTAGTCTTCACATTGGGTAAGCACTTTTCAACATCATTATGCCAGCATGATATTTTGGAATTAAACCACTCAATACACCAAGAACTGCTGTTCCTCCCCAGGCGGCTCTCTGGCCCCTGCCGGTCCATGCTGCCGTAGCAGATGCCAACGCCGCAGAAGTTGTTCTGTTGCAGTTCCACTTCCCAGTAGTGGATGCCTCTCTTGAAGCATTGGAACCCCAGCACTTGGGAACAATCAGTGAAGCGCTGAGGGTGGTAGTTATAATTCAGAGGCGTGTCTGAGACAGACATCCTGGTATACCTCTCAGACAGAATCACTTTGTTATGAGCTGTGTTGTAATCCAGCGTGATGTTAGCAGCATCTGCAATGACATGAATCGTTTGAAGGTACTGAAGAGCAAAGCACTTTTGTTTATACCATCCTGCCTAGGCACTTGTTCCTATGCACGTTTCTCTTCCTGCTCTGCTCTCCTCCACAGGGCAGGCAGTTCTTAGGGTCACAGTAATAGCCGCTGGGCTCAACTGCAGCTCTGTGTTACACAGCAGGCAAACGGAGGGCAAGTTTCCTTCCTTCCTGCATTCCCATGGGATTCCTTCACCACCCAAATACATGTCGGCAGAAGAAGAGGATTGCTGATCTGGCAGCAAAAGGTATACCATGTTGTATACCATCTGGTATAGCATCTTAAGCAAGCCATCATGGGCTCACATAAAAGCCTGCATTTCATTTCAAAGAAAAATCTAGTGCATTACATCGTATTTCTAGGCTACCCTAATGCAGTCATTTTGGGGGAAACCAAAGCCATTACTGAGAAAACGTCATTTACCTTCATAAAGATACATGAATACTGAAAATAAATTTGATTCATCTGGCAAAAGAACCACGCAGAAACCTCCTGCCCCCTTTTCCTCCAAAAGTTTCCTTCATTTGTAACAACTAGTTGATAACCTACTAAGCTAACTAAACCCCCTCAAAAGTATTTTTGTCAGATAACTACAGAGGACACATAACACCAGTTCAGTAAGCACAGAAAGTTCATCTTCAAGTAGTGTAACGTTGGGTGTCTTACACTGCAAAAGCTCCTCTCTGGGTTTCTTCAGAAAGCTGTCAATAAGCTCTTTAGTTGAAACGGCAGCTGCAGCATTTAGTGTCCCCGTGGCTGGTGCTGTGTCGACAGAAGAAAAGAGAGTTAGGCCAGTTGGGAAGAACCCCTGCATGCTTAACACACAGTCACAGACACCCTCAGGATGGAGTGGACCTCTAGAGGTTTTCTGGTTTAGCCTCCTGCTCCACACAGGGTTAACTTCAGTATTAGCTCAGGTTGCTCACAGTCTTGTCAAGTTTTGAAAATCCCCCGTTGTCTCTGGGCAACCTCTTTCAGTGCTTGATCGCTCTCACAGTGACTAGTAAGAGCCTTCTCAGAGCAAGAGGTGAACTTCTGCTTAATACACCAACACTAGTGACCATCTACTTATCTTTTTAAGAGCAGTCAATGAAAATTAGAATGAGTATGCTGAAAGTTTGGACTCACCAACTTTAACGGGTTTCTTTTTCTCCTCTGGAGGGGGGGAAAAAAAAAAACAAGTGAACTGTGAGTTCTACTGAGACCGAAAAGCCACCGATAGACTATGCCAGCTGTAACACCGTCATCATGGCTCTTCTGAAGCTGCAGCAGTAGCTAAAGCTGACAGTCCAGCACGTTGAAGCCATGTACAAATACACCCACAATGGAAAGCTAACACATAAAGCACAACGTACTATTTGCTTCCTATTTCACAGGGACATAAGCCTGGAAGGAGCTGCATCTCTACTCCAGGATGCAGCGTGTTAGGGCAAGTGGTAATAAGCCTGTTCCCATGAGGCACATACATAGACTATTCCTTTTCTTTTTACAACAGATCTTCCAGTGCAGCAACAGGAGCTACAAGTTCATTCGCCTCCAGCAATCCACAACAGACCCTGTTGAGTGCTCCACACCCAGGACTTGTGAATGGAAGGGACCACGTGTCAAGAGCTCAGTGGAAGTAACAGAAGTAGTTTCTTAACACTTGGATTTACTTCAAAAAGATAATATGGAAGATCTTCCAAACAGGCTGGAGTGCCGCATTAATACCAGTATCTGGACAAAACAACACCGAAAGGCCCCAGTATAACCTGCTACAAAGACTGTCTCCATCACCCCAGCCTTAGACTGCAAGTGAGACATGGCCAGCAAAATGTTTGAGTAAGGCTGCAGTTAATCACCACTTACTGGTATCTGCCTCCACCTGCAAAGTGGCTTGAGTCTGGTGAAGGTTTTTCTCTTTGTGGATATGCTCTTGGGGGGGGAAGAAACAGAACATGAACAGCTCGTAAGCAGCATTCAATACATACAAATCCATCAAACAAACCAACAGATGTTTAGTACAAGTGAAAAAAAACCTGCAAGAACCAGAGGGCGGGGAGGCTCTGCTTTGCTTTACAGCCTGCACTGGCATCGCTACAGGTGCACGCACACGCTGAGGCTAATGCACCACTGTATCTGGGCAGTTTGCTGCTTTACAGCTCACAAGGCATCCATCACCAAAGAGCCCAAAACGCCCTCCCTTTCCCATGCCAAGGTGCTCACTACAGGTAATGACTGCATCACCGCTAGAGCAAACAGCTCTTGGGTAACTGCTTGAATTCTTATTTAATGGTAAAACCACAGTTAGGAGAGGATGATGTTTAGTACTTACGTGGTCCCAGAGGCTTTTTCCCAACAGAGATTTTATTTAGAGAAGCTGCTGGAGGGGGCTTAGTTTTCCCAGGTGGTAGTTTTGCTGCAATGGCAATATTTTACATTTGGTGTGTATTGCCAGGAACAGTAATGCATGAGCAAGGACATTTTTCAATCTTATTTTTCAGTCACGTGAATAGAACTTAAGTGATACTCGGCAGAGACTGAAACTGCATAGAAGATACCCATTCCCAGTCCAAAAAGATACTTTTGCTTAACCCGGTAAGTACGGTTTTTCTCTACAACACTTCCATGATCGGCACCTTTACAGTTGGGTAACCGTCGTCCTATCACTCAAAAGCATTTTATGTCTCCCCTCAAATCCACATCCTAACTGCATCCAACTCTGCTACATAATAAAAACATAAATTACTGTAAGGAATAAAGGCTGAGCTGTGCCAGAAGGGCATAGTATCACGATACTCATCAGCTTATCCAAGTATAGATAAAAAGTCATGAGACACTGGCATGCTTCTTCTCCTAGTTTAGCCCAGATTATAGCATTTTTGTTTGGAAATGGAGGACCACAGAAGTTGGAAGACAATTTATATTAACCAACTGTATTTGCTGCAGTATTTTTTTTTTTAAATGATAGTTGGACTGGAGGGGGAAGATGCCTCATTTGAACTCAAAGCCAAGGCAGAAAATGCCAATTCTCCCAGTGACACAGTACCTTCTGCTTTTTTCTCCCTATACAGAGTCACTGCAAGTTTCACAGTATCTTTAAGGTTAATGGCAGACTGGTAAGTGGAATGTATCAAGTTCTGGTCCATTTCAATTACAGGGACGAAAGCGTCTTTTGTTGACATTCGTTGCAGGGCTGCTGCTCTCTGAAATGAGAAACAGAAGATCTCATGCAGACCACCTTGTGTAGCAGACATAAAAATACAACCAAGTTACTTTAAATGGGGTGGATTTTGTGCATTCCTCTCAAATTCAAAGGAGCAAAGGCTAGTCAGACACGACCCGTGGCAAAATTTCAGCAGCAACCCATATGCATTAATTCTCAACTGATATCTGAAGCAGTGAGAAAGATCTACTAGATGGTGTCACAGCGTGGAGCTGCAACACCTCATGACACGAATTCTCTCACTGGCCCCTCCGCTTGTGGCAGAGGCTGAACTGGGGGGAGTTACCAGACACCATTTCAGCACTCTTTCATTGATATTTCTGTATTTATCGGTACATCCTTTTATAGCAGGTTCTTGCACACGACAGCATTATCATTTGACAGAGTGCCTGGAGAGCAAGACTACCACAGCAGGTTTTTGTGACTCTGCATTCTAGAAACACAAAGAATTGGATTCGCATCTAAAGGACATATTACCTTCAAAAACAGAATGTCATCATCTTCAGTCAGTGCCATCTCAATCTGATCTCTGAGAGACTGAATTTCATTCTTCTTACTTCCCAGAACACCGTAAATATAATCAAACTTATTGCAAACTCTTTTTTCTTCATCTGCAATTACTTTTAAGGTCTGATTTTCTCTTTCTTCAATTAAAGCTTTAATTTCTGAAAACTCACTTCTGATCAAATCTTTCTTTCTGGAAGCTGCCTCCTGGAGCAGACAAGAACAGACAGACACTGGTTTCAAAAGAACAGTTTGTGGACAAAGTACTGCTTACTACTACTACTACAAGAAAAACCCAAGCCTTTGAGGAACACGTAGGCTTCAATTACTTGAAACAGGCAATAGAAAAGCTATGTACTTCTATGCAGTTTGGAAAGAAAACTCATTTGCTCCCAAGAGATGAGGCCCGTTAGTCTCCAGACCCCTGCTGCGGGGGCTGCTGGGCAGAGGCCGGGCCAGCCGTGCCATCTAGCGGTTACCAGCACTGGGACAGGGCTGTGCCACTGCGAGCTTGGACACCGCACACCCACTCGCACGGCTGTAGCTGTTTCTGCCTCAGAGATGTGGCATCTCTGGTTAATACAAAGTAATTCCTGATCCTCCGAGAGATGTTCCAGAGGAGCGCAGAAGTGCTGCCCCGGCAGCTTTTCAGTTTCTTGGTCTCCACCACTCGGTTCAGAAAGGATGGTACAAGCGAGACGTACCCGATCCAGCCATCGGCACAAACAGCAACCCCGATCATCGGCTAAGAGCAAGGATTAGTTGCGGTAATTTATGGGGGAGAGACATCCCAACTTTCTGCACTGGTGCAGCCATTACAGCCCACTAATCCTTTAGCGTGGGCTGCGCAGCTATGCACTGTCTGGTGCAACAGGAAAGGACGGATTTGAGCCCTGTTACAGGTCAGGTGTGTCAGCACGTCCAGGTATTGCACGGTGGCTGGGTTACTTCCATCTCCCACAGAGCTGCCTGGCTCTGCCAAAACGCCTCCTCTGTTCCTTCCCAATTCTTCTGTCTTCTCCTGCCAATGCAATCTCAATACTACAGCTCTGTCACAAGAGTACAACACAGTACATCAAGAACACGCAGCGGCCAGCGTATGCCAAGCAACCTGACGGCATTTTGAACAGTTACCCACTTACAGCAGCTTGGCTTTGGTTTGTTTTCACAGTGCTCATTGCTCGAGCAGCTCTCTCACTCTGACTATGCAGTTCCGTCAGCTTCTTCTTCAGCGTCGACTGCAACAGAAGAGATGAGAAAGTATTTCAGAGCAGCAGTTGCCATGTCTGCTCTCAGTCAGGTCATGCTTATTGGAGTAAGAATCATATTTACAGGAAGTTTTAAATAACCATTGTAAGCATTTAGTAGTATCGATTTAAAACCTACTCTCCTTAAACCTTACAGGATGTAAAAATACTCTCCTGCACATGTGTGGCTCATGGAGCCGGCACCCTCCCCACAGCTCCACCTCTCCCAACAGCAAGATGCACGCTGCTGACTCACTCTTTTGATAAGGACTGAGTGCTTTCATCAGCACAGCACTTCCCAGTGCTAAGAATAAACTTTATGTTGGACTTTGGGCACTAGGTTAATGCTACTGTTCACCCCTCTCATTTTAATTGAGAATTTTATTGCTCAGATGTGAATTACCTATTCCTTTAGTTCAAGATGCTGCTAAGCTAAATCATGGAGGACTTCTGAGGGCAAGCAGTATACACGCTCGCCGAACAGATGGGAGTTTGGCCACCTAAACTTCTCAAGCATGCTTTACTCACCTACCCTCAGGTTTTCAGCTGCACCTTAAGATACAAAAGCCAGGTTTCCTTCCCTTCCACTCCACGGAGAACCCGCTCCTGGCTTTTATCTACATGCTAAAGCTCTCCCTAGGCTACTTCTATAATTCTTTGCTTCGTAAGAACACACACAGAGCAATGTCTGCCTACAGTCCCTCGGTCAGCCTGCAGTAAAGCCACACAGTGAACCCCGTGCAGTGAGCAGCAGGGGAGGCTCGGAGCTGGGGGTGGCACCCGCAGAGGCAGGAGGCCTCCCCAGTCAGCCCAGCTCGACAGCAGCTGGCTATCAACCCCACCACAGCTCCCAGACCCTCGGAGCACAATCTTGGAGAGAGGAGGAAAACGCAAGGAACGACTCTGAAGACGTGCCCGAGCGCATGCTGGAGGGCGGGTAACGGTTTGCCAGGGCCAGGCACCAGATTTACAGTCCAGGCCTTGGTCCAGCCGCCCCCAGGCACTCCGCAGCCCACGACCTCAGCACCCAGGGACC